ATAGACTGATGATTGATTAAGGATGAAAACGACCCGTCCTGAAAACGCGCGAGTGGACCTCTCTATGCCGACGACATCAACTGTACTACAACTAAAGGGAATCTCACCAGATAGCACCATTAATTGAATTTTTACATTTCTGTGGCCTGGAATTCGAAAGCTCACCTCTCATCATTCTTTTCATCTGCTCCTGTTCGTAATTCTTTTGTGGACTGGAAGGAGCGGAATTCGACGTATTAAAAGTAGAGTCAGTGGGCTGGAAAGAAAGTTATTATATTCAAGATTTCTAAACGCATAATAAAAGGACCGTGAGCTCGCTTAGCGGATTGCACAACACCATAGACTTTTTGCGTGTTTTTCAACAGGGTCATTGGAAAATATTTAAACACTGGAAAAATCAACCTTTACGACGTTCCCGTATAAACATCAGGGTAACAGAGTAAATTCAAAATAAGTGGTTATGTCGTCTAAATATGGTCCTCTTGGTCCATATTTGGTTGACATTACCCAATTCACTCTGTCCTTCGGGCCTCGTTTATACCTCGCGATTTGGGGAGTCCGCGACTTGTTAGAACTGGCGAATCGGGAGAGTGCACGACAAAGGATTTTATAACCGCTTCGGTCTGTTTTCGACCGTTTCCGATGAGTACTTTTTTGTCGGCAAATGGGACAACGCGCAACACCTAGTTGATGGAGCCAATCGATTCCTAGCGCTAACGGAGCTGGAGGGGGAAGCGTGGTGATACTAGACCGGATGGGGACACGCGGCGTCTCTAGCCATTCTGGTCACCCCCCCCCCTCTCTGAATTCGAGTTTAGGGGAAGTAAAGGATCCTATCTGGGCGCAGACGATGGTATTCACCGCGGCTGGACCCTATTGTAGCTGCATTCATACTTTGCAGCAGCGTCCCAGCGACCACCAACGTTTTGTGCGTCCGCCAGGGCAGCGACTATTTATGTGATCTACTATGACCTTGTCCATCAGTAGTAAAAGAGTATGGGGAAGTATACTCCTTATCCCTGAGACGGAGTAGGCGTGGCTTTTGAGCATGGCATAGGACGGGTTTCTCGTGGGATACTTCAATTTGAAACAACTGCTATCTTGTTCTGTTTTAGATGTAGACATGATTGCGACTGCTCTCAAAGGACAAGGTCTCACGGAAATCTGGGCCGGGCCGCCGCCATTTCAAAATCAATTACGCAGCCACGCCTATCCCGATCTCAGGGATTTCGAGAATAGAATGGTAGAAGACAGTTAATAGTCGTCGTGAAATTGCGGCGTTTCAAGCGCACCGTACAAGTGCACTACACCGTACATCAAGATCTTGTAATTGTGTGCTTTAGCAGGCTGTCAAGCCAATTCCCCTCCTACTTCCCCATACTCTCCACTCCTGGTCGCTAGTGGACGCTGCAACAAAGTATGAACGCAGCATATCGACGCGTGGCCCTTCCAAGTACGCTGCCCGATTCCCTTCCGATTCTGCGCATTTTGCGAGGTAGTGAATCGATCGATATGTACACATTCCGTTGTCGCCGACTCTCCCGGATTCTACATATTTGCGAAAGCATGAACGCAGCCTAATGGAGCATCGAGTTTGGAGGTTGTTTAGAATATTGGAGTGGACGGAGCGTCCGCCAAATGATCGCGTACTGCCCGCATAACTTTGGACATCTAGAGAAGCCACAGAAATCACACCTGAGCCATAAGATAACTAGCAAGTTCTAAATCCTGTTCGCTCTTCCTCATAGCAACATAACGATCACCACCTCCAGGACACAAACCACCACCAACGTAGGCTCGTGATGGCGTCACATCTCTTCTTCGTAATCCTTTCTGGTTCTGAAAACGTCTTCATTTCGAAGAAGCAGTCTGCTCACGAACACTTGACTTTCATTAGACATACTTGTGTCGTACCACCAATACCAAAGCATGTTTGGTTTGATGTTGCTGTGCGTGATGAGAATTTACGACCAGCGCTTGCCGAATTCTTTCGTATCGTCAGGTCTCTCATCATGCTTGTAGGCGTCTTATTAGACGTGTCTCGAAATGGCTGTGACATTGTGGACTGAAAGCTGAACTGTATATAACTCGTTTTCCTGCACTTGCCTTCATGATATTAACGACATATGTACACATTTTCTTTTCGAATTCACGACTTTTCAGAACCGAATTCACGGTTTTCGGACTAAATTCAACCTACCGAATAAATAACTAACCAGATCACTCTAGACGCTACCGCAAGACCCGCCCCTTGGCTACGCCC